CAACACAATAGATAACTGAAAGTAGTTTCCACAACACTAACAAACACCACAGGAAAAGCAGTTTAACGCTAACTACAAGTACTCTTTTAAAAGTGGCAGCTGACCTCGATGTCTTCTTTATTTTCCAGCAATGGAGCCTCCATGATATTCCTTAGCAAGAAGTTCTCCGATTCTACATCAAATTTGTGTCCGGTCACATTAGCTATTCTTTCCCAGTGGCGATCTTTCATCGCTTTGTTAGCCATCAACTCAAGAAGGGGGCAGCATTCGTTGAAGTCGTCAATCTTTTTCTTTAATTCGTTAAATGCTTGCCACTCCTTAAGAGCTTTAGGCAGCTTACGACACCTGAGTAAACAACATCAAATGAGAATTATTAATATCCCTATTATTGTCATCATTCCTATCATCATTATTATCGTCATTATCATAACGGTCATCATCATTATCGTAATCAAAATTATCATCATCATCATCACGATCACCAACATCATCATAACAATCATCATCATCATCAACATCATCATCATCAATTTTTGTGGACTCTTAAACGTTCTCCCACGGAACCCAATGATAACAAATGCTATTATGGTGACGTAGCTGTAACCCAAATACAAGAAAGGGAATAAGACTTTAAAGAGTTTAAGAGAATTTATAATATTTGGAATATTTTCCCTTCGCGCCTGATTGATTATAATGAATAGTCCATTTCCCGAGTACTGTAAGTCTACTCTTAAAAGTGAATCCGATTGCACATCTTAGCTTTCCATATGTACCTACTAACTTTCTTGAGAACAACTATGTACCAGGGCTCGCTTAGTTGAAGAAGATTAAAATAACTTGGGAATGGGCATCAAAATAACCTAGTGATGACTAAACTGACACCTGTTTTGAAAGTCGATTAGCTCGTTGTTAATCTTCTCAATATCCACTTCAGTCCACAGGATATCATAATAGCCGTTAACACCATCAATAACAGCATTGTACAGCCCATACAGTTTCTGAAGCAGCCCCAGTTCTTTCTTGGTGCGAGCAAGCTCAGGGTACTCAGTCACAGGGAGACCAAACAACTGCTCACCGCCAGAGTAGGTGATGAACTTTCGCCAAAGTTCGTCAAAACGGCTCTAAAAAAACGAGGAAAACTCTCAATAAGATTTTGATACTACACAACTTTACTCCAAAGTCTGCCCTTTCTTATTTATTATTATTTATTTATTTATATTGATTCTTTCCTTCAAAAGAAATGTTTATAAATCTAGATTTTCACCTGAAATGTATTGAGCCTGTCACTAGCTTCCTGCGGAGTGATGCCTTCGACCATAGGACCGACCTGAAACAATAAAATCTTTTGAAATCGCCAACTAGTACTTTAGCTAACAGGTATCTACGAGTCTCAAGCTACGGTGACAAAACGGGCACCAAAAACGCGCAACTTGTTTTACAATACATTGTTCAAAACGAGCTGAAAAGTGATGTTGCGCGTTTTACCACCCACGAATCAAACCTGTTTCGCATCAAATTAGGTTGTTGCAAGTTGCGAAAAGTCGTTGCTGAAAGTAGAGAATGGTTATACTTTTTGCAACAAAATTTGTGTACGTCAGTTGTGGGTCTTACAAGCCCAAGGCAAACTTGTTTTGAAACAAGTAACGTAAATCACATGTATATAGCTGTGTATGGCACGACTCAGTAGCTTCATTGTCTTCGAATGGACACAAAAGTTGTGGTGATACCACTAGTAGGTTGATTTAGCAACAGGACGGGAACGTCATTTGACGACGGGTAAGCGCGCGGAAAGGACTAAACTCGACTTCTGGTACCCAATTTTCCGCTTATTGCCATTGATCAATCCAGTTGTTTGATTTGCGCGCGCAGTCGTCAACAGACGTTCCCGTTCTGTTGCGAAATCAGCTTAGTATTATAAATAGCATAAGAGTTTGAGAATTACTATGCGCTAGGTTTTATTCCTAAACGCTCAGAATCTTTCAGTTAAAGAGATTTCCCATATGGACTTCCGTGTGACAATCAAATCGTAGACTACATAATGCCACCCTTCAGTGAAATAATGATGATATGATCTTCCCAGAGCTGTAGAGTTTACCTCGTCATAGTCAGATATGAAGTTTGTTGAGTCTTCATGGAAGACCACCACTCTCTCAAGTAAGTCAGCTTTAAACTTGGGTTGAATCTTTACTAGGTGACTCTGTACTTGACTCTAAAATAAAACCAGAGCCAAAATCACATGGAAACATAATTGGATGGGCCAATCAGATCTCGAAAAAGAGGAGCCGGCGTCATACTACATTATTAAGTTTAAGCAAATGGACGGGACTGTTTTTATCTGCTTATTTTCTAATCTGCAAAATTCTCAACTTGAGTCTGACCTTCGCCGTTTGCGGTAAACGTGAATCTTAATCTCTCTACTATCGATGTTAGAGTTTTTTCTGGTAATAAAAGTAAATATCAACTTCTATTTGCCCCTATCAATTCCCAACATCTTATTCCACTCTTTTGGTTTCCCTAATGCATTGCACTTGGAACGGTAAAATATTGTAAGAGAACTACACCAACAGTAATCGCAACAACAATATAATTATGATATTTACAATTAAAGAACTCCGCGCTTACTCACCGCCTGTGAAAGGAGTTTTTCAAACGAGTATCGGAGGGTGTCGACACCATCTACTTCTTCACGAGCCACTGACACCTCGAACCTGTTGAGCATCGCGTATGCCTCCTGTTAACGTAAAAATAAACAATGACAACAATAGGGAAAACAATAAGTACTGTCGAGCATTTTGTGGCGTTCACCAGTCAGCTGGGACGGTACAAATACAAATTGTGTAGGAGCTACTCGTAAAGTCTGTCCTGATTGGTCGCTGAAAACAGTAACATGTCATTCTTTCAATTGTTTCAATATTGTTTGGGGTCAGGGTTAGGCACCATTTGTGAATTCTGTTCCGAGCAGCCGCTACCACAAATACGGAAGAGTTTATATATATCTGGAAACAAGCATTTGGAAAGAGATGCAAACTGGGAACAAAACCTTACTTAACAGTAAACCATGATCTATTCTTTGTTTTTTTTTCCATGTTTTGTGTCCATTTTCGCCGTGCTCCGTTTCCCGTTTGAGTTAAATCCTTGGGAATGTCCCTAACGTTTCGTTTAATCGATACAACGATAAGTTGTAATTTCAAGACATAACAAGACACATTTTGTTAACAATAGTGCCATAGTGATTATAATAAGAAATGAAAAGTGAATATTTCTCATTTCTATCATTTCGTTCCTTTTCTTCGTTCTTTTTTTTACGGTCTACATTTTCATCATTTGCAAGTTCTTTCTCATTCATTTAAAACCAGAAGATTTACAGGACAGTCAAAATTATTCCCTTTCCCTACACTTTTGAACGCCCGCCACGCGGGCTAAAAAGATAATTACATAACTAAGCACAGTATCTTTGGGAAGCGTACCTCTATAGGTTCAAGAATCATGTCGATCCTAATTTCGTTCTGTCTAATATCTTCCAGAGCAGCCATGGCGTTTCTCACATCTTCCAAGTCATTGATCTGCCGGCCAAGTCGCTTACTGTTATCATTCACAAACTGTGTGATCTCGTCCATGCTCCTTTTGTACTTTTCGTTTATGCTGTGACCAAATAAAAGCTTCCATGCCTTGATTTCAACTCGTAAGGCAAGTTTAAAAGGCTCTGTAAAAGGGACATTATCTGGATAACTATCGGAGTAAAAACAGTGTCTGACTGTCTTGGTTGTCGTTACTTGTGATCTTAAACTAGGAATTGTCTTCTCGCGACCAAAGACAAACACACCACGAAAAATAAGAAGGAAATACCATCATCAAAGTTAAGTGGCATTATGAACTATAACAACTGTTAGTTTGGTTTGAGACTGTCACCAAACAAATGTGTTTCTTTTTCCTTGTGCGTGCCCCTACAAGTTTCACCTAGTTTGTATTGTGACGGATTACATTTATTTTGTGTTGCTTTCCATAGTTATGTGTATTGTCAGTAATCGTGCTTACATTGTGGAAGGTTAATCCTAAAACGTTCTGTAGTTGGTGTAGGATTTAAGGGAGCCGAAACGTTTCGAAGAACGCACCTTAAGTATTCCGCTAAAGAAGAGTTACTACATTACCATATTTACAGGAACCATGATTCATAGTCTGTGCCCTATACATGTTGTCATCTAACAGATAAGTTCCATTCCTGTTACAAGACGCATTTAGCATTTCATTTTTGTCCAATGTTTTTTCCCGTCTCGATTGGCTTAATAGGGAGTTTTAGCATCGACGACGGCGACGGCAGCGAAAACGTCACTTTTAAAAAGAAATTGCGTTTTTTCAAACTTTGTCGCGTTTATTCCAATTCCCGAATTCGCTGAAAATGTCTAATGTTGGCAAATATCCCTGGAGTTGATTTCCTGGGACCGCACTCAGGTTTAGAAAGAGAAAGAAAATTTCGTCATCGCTTATTTACGTCCTCCATAAAACGTGAAATTAGGCATTTTCACGTCTTAGTCGTGCAGTAACTGCAAAGAAATGTACAAAAAAGCGTGATGCACAAGCAAACTTGTTGTTTTGCTTAATAAACCTATTGCTGTTTTGACGATTTCGTTGCCGCCGCCGTTGCTAAAACTCCCTGATAGACCTTTTTACCAATACGACGGCCATATTGAATTAATTCGATCTAAGGAGTATTATAGGATGCCCAGGGGGCATGAGCACATTTCGTTGCTATTTTCGGGACATTTTTCTTAAAGTTTTCCTAGAATAAGATTCTAATGGGAAAAAAGATCCTTGTGCCGTGTTTGGATGTAATAATGATCGCCTTTTTCTAGTTTAGTGTTAGAAATATGGTCTTTCACTGTATATTTCTCGGGAAAAAGGCGATCATTATTACATCCAAACACGGCACAAGGATCTTTTTTCCCATTAGAATCTCATTCTAAGAAAACTTTAAGAACAAATGCCCGAAAAGCACTCGAAAATAGACACGAAATGTGCTCATGCCCCCTGGGCATCCTATAATACTCCTTAAATCGAATTAATTAAATATGGCCGCCGTATCGGTAAAAAGTTTCTATCAGGGAGACGGTGACGGCAACGAGGAGGGCAAAAAAAGCAATAGGTTTAGATTGGCAAAACTACAACTTTGCACGTGCATCACGCTTTTTTGTACATTTCTTTGCCGTCGTTGCACAACTTCAACGTGAAAGCGCCTAATTTCACGTTTTGTTGAGGACGGGGAACACACGACAACAACTTTCTTCTTCTTTTCCTGAACTTTGACACAGTCCTTTAGAATTAAACTAAAAAAAATTTGACATTTGACAAATTGAACGAGATGTAATAAGCGCGATAAAGTTTGAAGCTGCACGAGTTCGCTTTTTCAGTGACGTTTTCGTAGCCGTCGCCGTCGCCGTCGCCGTCGTCGTTGCTTAAGCTCCCTACATTGTTGTGGTTGTTGTTGTTGTTGTTATTTACCTGAGTACATTTCAATGGCTCCATGGCCCACTCGGAAGGTTGGCTCAATGTTTTCAATCTCTTGTTCTAAGTTCTGGTATTTCAGGATCTCGGCCTTGAATTCTGACAAGATTGGATCAGAAGCCACAAAATCCTATCGAAAAAGTTGAAAACCAGTGTGACTAACAATGAAAAAATTACCGACCAATTTTCTCCCGTATTTCACTCTTACGCTGCCTTTTAAATCACGTGGTTGGAAGAAAGGTTTGCAGCACAAACTCGTGACGTCATAATAGGGACCGTTAGATTCTACAGCTTCGGTAAAACGGGCAACAAAAGCATGCAACTTGTTTTGCAACATTGCTGAAGAACGAGTTGAAAAACGATGTTGCGCGTTTTAACACTTATGAAATCTTCTAACAAACTGATTTGTTGCAAGACATACAGGTTTAATGTGGGTGGTAAAACGTGCAACATCAGAATTCAACCCGTTTTGCAGCAATGTTGCAAGACAATTTGCTTATTTTTGGTGCCCGTTTTTCTACACCTTAAGATGAGGAAGACTACGAGAACGAGATTTTCTCAATACTAAGTAGTGCGCGTGCGTAAAAGAGCGTCATTTTGGTGGGAAAAAGGGTTTGGGGTCATCATTCTACTAAGGGTTTTAGCGAAAATGGCGGAAACAAGTCATAAATGAGGCGCCTTAACCTTCTTCAATAAAAATCATGCTTGAAAGACATCTTTGTTTGACACGAAGATGTGATTTTGTCATTTAAAATAATTTCTCAAGTCCCATAGCGAATGAGAACCCGTAACTGTCATTATTAACGAAATAAACAAGACAGCCCCTTTAAACGAGTAATGTTTTTGTAGCAATGTACTAACAGCGACGGCTTTCTCCTTGTCTTCGTCCCAGACAGAGTGAAACTGTGTGAAGGAGTCGAGACAGGTCATGACCTCCGCCTTGGTAGAGCTGATCACTGAGGTCAGTACCATCAGAAGCTTGGTGATGTCCTTGTGTTCGGCAACACTCTTGTAGTAGTTCTTAAGTTTGCTGGGTAGAATCTCTTCCTCTGGGGAAAATCAAGAAATCAGTATACGTTAAGGAAAAGATGAAAATATCAGTACCCAACAAGCACGGATCAGGGAAAAGAGGATAAGTCCCCATGAGGGATTGAAATCTAGATCCTTCTAGATTAATCTTCGAATGTCCCTTGAGGTTACGAACTCGATTCGGCAACAAGACAGCACCCACACTCGTGACATATTGATCATTCCTCAACATCAACATTATCATCATTATTGCCATTATTATCAGCAGCATCACTGTCTTCATCGTTAGCACCAGCATCAGCATCATAATCGTCACTAACACCATCGTTGTTGACGTTGTTGCCATTGTCAGCATCAACACAGGCACCACTACCACCACAACCATCATCGTTATCTTCATCATCATCATCATCACCACCACCACCACAACCACCATCATCAACTTCAACAAATATATTGTCATCATGACCGAAAGGGTAAATTTTAAAACATCACTACACGATCATGAAGATATTTAACACAAGTAACTGAGAACTAGAGGCCAATTAAAGATAACGCAAACTTAAGTGAAAATTACTTCACCTTTTCTTGGGAAGTGTAAAGTTTCTTCGAAAGCTTACACTTACGTTATAGATAGTCTTAAACCCTCTAAAACGGTGTAGAAGTTTTAGCAAATACAGTGGGAGGTCAATTAACTCACTCGAGTCGGTAGCTCGCACTGTTCTCTTGATGTGCCCAGGAGACGCTTCTCCGTTGGAAGTGATTTCCATCATTTTGAACCTTTTCTGTCCCCACTGAGCCACAGACCGGTTAACATCTAAGACTGACTGAGTAGCTTTGTTTAGAGCCTGCTGAATATCGTCCAGAGAAGGATGGATGACCTGCGTACAAACGTTAAAACACAGCTTGTCAACAATGAAGAACGAACAAGTGCTTGACCGACAAATCATATCACACTATCATGCCATCTTTACTCCAATGTTACATTCCTTTTTTATGAAGTTGTAATTGTAATGGTCCTCCCTTTAATCTGGCAAAAAGTGTGATGTATTTCTTTCTTCCTACCCCCTCCACTTCAAAAGGTGCATATCGCTATCCACCAGATAAATCTCTATCCAATGGATTAAACACAGTTGGTTTCGCAAATACCTATCCGCTGGATAGTGATCTATCTAGTGGATAACGCTATTCATCTTTTGAACAAACGGCGCCTGACATGTATAAATCATGGGTTTGGAAATACTCAAGCCTGCGTTTAGACCAACCAAACACCTTTTTTATATATATGTATTCCTCTCCGTGCCAACTATGAGATAAAGTTTCCTGTTTTTCTCCCCTCTACATCTGAGCTGTATGGTTTCCTTTTTGTTATTGACCTGACCTTCTTGTGCTTGGAACGGATGCAAAATCTGCAGCTGTTAGCCAAAGCTAAAGCTAAGCCAAAGCTGGCATTTTACATCACTTATTATTCCTTATTAGTTCCTCACAATGGAGTAATCTTGAAACAAGTAAGAGAAAATCTATCAGTGCTAAATAGGGACCTCCATCGACAGTAACGTTGACGTCCCGGACGTCAAAAATGGCAACCGGAAGTTGATATTTTCTGTTTTTCAGTTCTCTGACTCGGCAAATTCGTACAGCGGTCGTTAAAACAAAGACATTCATATTCATTGTGTGAGACAGAAGCGATCCATCACGCGAGACATCAAACTTCCGGTTGCTCTTCATGACGTCAAGGACGTCAGTGTTCTCGTTGCTTGAGCTCGCTGTCATAACCAAACTGCTGTTGTCAACCTCGCTTTTGTTAATCAAACATTCTTACCACATGAGGAATGACAAGAGTTATCTCGGCCTTGAAGAATGGAGCTTTGTTGTAAGTATTTGATAATCCAGCGGATGAAGAAAAGGCTCTCTTGCCGTAGGTTGACCGCGTTGTGCTGAATAAAATAAAACAATCGCAAAAATCTTGTCACTATTTTCAGCTTTGTTGTAATTCTGACCCCAGTTGCTCAAAAGCGAGTAAAACACATAGAGAGTAGAAACAAAGCAGGGAAAGAGGACGTAAACACAAAAATTAGTACGCAAAATGAATGAGCCATTACCGAGTTCCAAAAACTCTCACTTTCAAACAGAAGCTAAGAACACACCCTTTCTTGTGAAAATAAGTTTTACTTGCACGAGAATGGCTTTGCGCTCAGCCTCACTTTGAGACAACTCGGAAATGGCCTATTTAAACAGTACTACTGGACCACAATCCCTCACTAACTGTCTAATTTGAAAGTCCCCAGTTTGAGTGCAGGGCCCGGTTGCTGCATTCAGGATTAAACCTTTGCTTCACTTTTTGTATTTACTTTCCAGTGCATTGCTTAGTGTAACATTATGTCAATAGTATTTTGTAAGAATGAGTTACTTGTTCTTAGACAAGAAAACCGTGCTAGAAATTTGGCTTAATCTTAGGTTAAACTTAACCATCTTTCGAGGAACCGGGCCTGCAGAAGGGTAAATAACAGACGAACAAGCAAAAGGAAAAGCACCTGATACAAAACAATCTTCTCTTCATTCCATCCAATGCATTTCTTGTAGCCCGCAGAAGAGCTTCGAAATTACGGTGATTGAAGTACAAAATCAGCTCATCGATTTCTTCGTTTATACTTTTCTCGTCCGGTAATTTGGGCGTCTTTGCCCTCTGTTCTTTGCTGTCCTTCTCTCCGCGGTTGCTCTCCATTTTACGGTCTTTATCCTTATCAGTAGGCTTAGCAGGCGGAGATCGAGGTCCCAGGGCAGACACACCAATACTTTCCAAACTATCAAGGAAGATACTCGCTAGTTCATGCACGGCTTCTTCCACGCATAGACTCATGTGGTCCAGGGCCTTGCCAAGAGGTTCACAGCGTTTCTACAGCATAGCGACAAAGTAGAGACCTTTAGATTCGAGTATGAGAACGACTACGATGACCACATTTAATTTTATGTTTTCTCGCCTATTCTCTAAAAATAGGCACACCGAAAAGCTAAATTGTCCTTTTTTTTTTTCACCACAAAAGTTAGTACGCTTATTTCTGTTGAAGGAGGTAAAACCCTCTCCCTATCGGTTTATCATAAAATTCCTAACATTTGACAACTTCAAAAGTAGGTTGAGTTTGATCGTCCGGGTGAAGGTAGTCCTGAATAGGACTGTTGTTGTTGACAGTGACAGTGACTTCATCTTCAGAGTCAAAGTGAGTTGTATCACGTCAGTTGATGGTATTATACTCTGGTTATTGATTTGATTGGTCAATTACGTCGTGATTTTATTGGTCGTCTGTCAGTTAAGCCGTGATGTTATTGGCTATGAAGACTCGTAATCAGTAATTGGTGCGTTTCGATCCGTCTATTGCCACAGTTAAACAGTCGTCTATTGTTAGTCAAATTGTCATTCTCTCGTAGTTAGTTTTGCTTGATCTCGTCAATAAGTCGTTTGTACGGTGCTGGTAACTGTTGGCTACGACAACAACTTGTTTGATAACTTGTTTTCACCACTTCGATATTCTCGTTAAAACTCGTAGTAGAATAACGATGGCTATCGCGTTTTCCCGCCAAAATGACGCTGGTTCGGGCATGAGTCTTACGTTAGTACTGGAAAAATATCGTTCTCTTAGTCGCCCTCGTCTTAGAATCTACAGGTCTCTAACATAACGTGTAAATAAACGAATACAGTCAACCTCACTGACTATCGAGCTACTACTTACGGACAAAACAGCTGATAGTTCAACAAACTTTTCTCACGACTCAGGATCTCTCTACCACAGTCTCTCAGTTAGTTGATACCTTAGAAGCGAGCCTCTTTAACAAAAGGTTAAACTGTGATGGGCTTACCTGTGTTCTGGTAACAAATTCATCAATAGTCCAAGAATCATCTTTGGGCAATTCACAAAGAACAGTCTCACTGATCTCACGAAGCACAGCATCAATTCGGGCATCTCGAATGTCATTAACTTGTTTTACCAGTAGGTCCACTTGCCGCAAACGGCTGTACACATTGGCGATGTAAGAGGGTATGTTAAGAGAATTCCAATTTAGCATGGTTACTCCGGGACTGATAGCACTCTCAACCTAGAAAATAACGGATAGCGGAACTATTTACAATGCTCGATACTTCCGCATTGATTTTTACCTCTTGAGATAACTATTTAAAAATAGGTATGGGGTTAAATTCCTTCGTGTCACGCTTTGTTGCACATTTCTTTACCATCACTGCACGTCGACGACCACAACGTGAAACTGCCTAATTTCACGTTTTGTGGCGGGCGTGAATACAAGAAAACGATCCTCTTTTTCTTGCTTTCAACAGGCCTTTAGAATTCAACCCTCGACAAATTTACCAACATTTTACAAATTGAACGACATGGAATAACAGCGATTTATACTACTACATCAGAAATTTCTGCAATTTGATTGGCTTAGAGCAGTGATATTTCAGCTTAATTTTAAATACCTACATGTGAAAATTACAAACCTTGTGTGGGTAGTAGTATAAACGAATAATAGCATGATTTGTACGTGATATTTGGCATAAATACCACTTGTGATATTTCAAAATTGTCTCAAATTTCACTCGACTAACGGCTCGTGAAATTACGTATAACAATTCCGAAATATCACTCGTGGTATTTATGCCAAGTATCACTACAAATCATGCCATTACCTGTACGAATTTTGAAACTGTGAATTCACTTTCTAAGGCTATGATCACTATACCGGATGGCTTTTACGACGGCACGAAAACCATACCGGATACGGCTTCTGTTCGCACATAAAGACACTGGCTTCGACGCGATTTCTCTAACGGAGCAAAGCTGCGCCGCGCCGATCTCTAAAGGCGATGTTACACGAGACGATTTGCAACGACGATTTTAAGCGCAACACAGCGTCGCAACATTGTTGCGACATTGTTTCGAATGGTTACAACATTGCTCCAGCATTGCAACCATGTCTTGCGCTAAAAATCGTTGTTGCGAATCGTCCGGTGTAACATCACCTTTAAGTGAAGAATTACATATCACTTGAACATAATCTAAACCTACTCGTTGCACGTGAGGTCCCATCAAAGGAAGAAATATGTTTGGAATCTTTGCTCTGACTTTCTTGACATCTTCAAGCATCAGCTGTAGGTTGACACAACAAGTGGATCATTACACGTTTCTGGGGAGCTGCCCACCTACCCCTACTCAAAGCCAACATTAACACTTGTTTCTCACTTTCGAACAAGTCACCATAATTTGTTCGTGAGTTGACTAGATTAGAAAACATGTCAGGGGTAAACGTTTTTTCAGTTTTGGCGATGAAAAGACTATCATTTACCGTGGTAAGGTACCACTCTTGGAAAAAGAGATTCGTCCAGGAATGAACCCTACAACAAAAACTATGAATGCAGAGATGCAATCTAAAAAGGGGAAAATCTCTAAGTGAGAGCATATAACATTAATTAAGAGATAAATTTGACAGTTCAATAAATATCCCCTACAAATGTGGTTGAGTCATTCAGAATCCTTTAGTTTACCCTAGAGGAAGTTGTTTGTTCAGTAATAGTTAGTACAGGGGACTGTTATTTCGGCGCACTTCAAAGAGCGATGTATTTGTTTTGATTTTTGCCTTGTCACGTGGTTGCGAGAGAGGTTCAGTTGAATCTCTTTTTTATCCATATTAGTTGGCGTTATTTTTACAACTACTTGACACGGAAATTATGGCCGTGGAATTTCCACACTGCCACTCCAAGAGGTGAAGATGGCCTTGTACAGTATCGACGGAAATAGCTTAATAGTAATCAGATCGGGCATGAAATGTCCAGTATACCTTAAGCTCATCTGCTAAACCCCTGATAACATTCCTTCTTAGGTACAGCAGTCGAGCTGTCTCTGGTATTGGCAGGTCCATTTTCATCATCCCCTCTGTCTCACGGATCAGCTGGATCAGCTGAGGATCGCAGTTTACAAACAGTTCACCGGTATCTGGGTGTCGAACCAGCAATGAAGCTTGCAGCCCTAACAAAAGCCAAACGTACCATGAATCACACTGTCTACTGGGCGACAAATTTACGCTGGTACTTAAAAAAATGCCTGAAAGTGAAATTTCACTCCAAGGTTCTTTTTTTACGTTTTTACGTACTTTATATGCCTGTTGTTTGAATTTCTCATGTTTTTCATTGGTATCTTTGACCATGCCCTCTGACAGCCAGAAAGTTTGCGAAAGTTACATACGGCCAAAGGTCATTGTGACGTCATTTGCGTTCTCAAAAACTAACAGCTAACAGAGGTCTCTCACAAGAAGAGAAAAACGATAGAAATGAGGCAAAGACTTACTGGTTTTCCAAACCGGTTTCGTTTAATGTGGAATGCGCGCGCCCTGTTAAAACTGCGGGCTTGAAATTTCTGAGCTCATAGTTGTTATTCGCGCACACCAGGTCTGTGAGTTGTGTTGCAAGTGACTAAAACGTTACTGGTTGTTGCGGAAACGCTAATACATGCGTGATACAAAACAAATCGGAGGCCGGCAGAGGTCTATCTTTCCTCTCCCTTTTCTCTTGCCGTGAGAGACCTCTGTTAGCAGGGTAAAAATGAACGCGGACCCTGCTAGCAATCATACCTGTCTTGGCCACTTCCACCTGCTTCAGCCAGCCGTTGTGATAAAGAATCTCAAACTCCACTAGAACAGTGGCCAGCTGGTTGAAGGTGCGGATAATTTTGGCCGCCTCCGGAGTTTTTAAGCAAGATGGATGCTTTTGAAATATGTCCATGGGATTACGTATTCGTCTCATGAGTTGACGGGCCCAAGCAATGCGGCCAGAGATAGGGGGAACGTCCCGGTGCACCGGGGGATTTTCACAGTTCTTTTGATACAACTGGAAGAAAACAAAACATTGAGATGTTAAAATACACGGCTTCCATGTACGGGGTAAATTAACCACACTCCGCCGCCCCCTACTCCGGAAAAACGGCGAGGCTACCGGGTAGAACGACGAAACCAATACCACATCTGGGAAATCATGGTCCTCCTTTATAAAGCTGCATGGAAAACATGTTCGCCTACACGTAACCAAAACGGATCAGTTCATCTTAGGGATCCTAACCAAAGTACCCTGCGGGATCCACAAAGAAACTTAATTTAAAAATGTTTAGAATAAACAGTTAAAAGCAATTTTTTGATTAAGTTTAATCAATTTAGGTTTCAAGGAAACTGCCCACCTATCCCTCCCTTAAGTCACCATGGCAAATTTTGTCTTAGGGGAGGGGTAGTATTCATGTCGGTTCATCCAGTAAAATTGTCTTGTGCCAATTCTATCTACTCATTTATAATTACGTTCTCATTATTTTACTAGCTCAGTTAAAATGACTTTATTTCAACCAGACTAACCTTGGATATGACTTCCACTTCCCTGCCGAAGTGTTGGAGAAGGTACGCATACCTCTCTTCAACGTATGGCTTCAGACTGGGTATTCCAAGCTTTTCAAATCTAAGTAGCACGACAGCGAGACAGTATAGCGTCAAAGCCTTTGTATTAAGGTTACACGTCGTGTTTATTGTGACAAGAGTCTTAGGGCTTATAGGACGTGGAAGAAGCTCCGCATTGTTTCATGTCCTTGCTCATAAGGTGATAATTATTGCAAAAAAATATGCGTCACATTTTGTCAGTGGTGACTATTTTTCAATATTGTACTGAAAGTGTACTTCCCTTGTAGCATCAGACACCTCCACCACAACCTTAGTGAAGTTTGGTACTCACCACCCAAACGACGTATGAACTGCAGGCTACGCCGGTATTTCTAGTAAGTTAATTGTTTTTGTTGAGTAGTAAAGGGTAAATAGCGAAGCAGTGTAGGGCTGAAGAAGCAATGGAAATGGGTTGAGGCCTGTCTCCCCCGCCCCCTAACTTCTCTTTGCTTCATATGATTTTTTCATCGCAACCTAGTCCCAGTTGTTCAAAAATGGATAGCGCTATCCAAGTCTGTATCCACTGGATAGCGCAATTGGTTTCCCTATAATATTTATACACTGGATAGTGATTTATCCGGTGGTTAGCGCTATCCGGCTTTTGAACAACTGCGGCCTGAGCGATATCTGGTACTCACTACCCAGAAACCGACCGTATGACAGGCTTTACCGGTATTTTTTAGGAAGGTTGATTGTTACTCTTGGATATTAAAATACAAATAGAGAAGTAACGGGCGTACGACTGAAGGGGCGAAATGGGGTGAGGCCTGTCTTCCCCTACCATTCATATCCCCTTGCACCATCACAATCTTCGCAAGCGCTGGTACTTAATTGCCACCCAGAAAACGCCTGCATGACAGGCCACATCAGTATAACTATTTCTACTCTAAGTTGATTCTTACTATCGAGCGTTAAAGGACGATGTAAGCCACAAGTATACGCACCTGCCTAACAGCTCCAAAGACTGAGAAGTGGTGGCAATTTTTTCAAAACAGCCGTTCATAAACATTTTCAAGTGATTCTATACAAAAATAATACAAACAATTTAAACAACAAGACAGCTGGAAAGCGCAGGATAAAAACAATGGTCTAGTGCAAAAAGTGTGTCAAGTTTGAATTTGTCCCTTTTTGTATTCAACCTTTTTAGGAACTTAGTAGAGTGCTTTTAACCTCGACGGATATACACACGCTAAAATTTCTGTTTCAACAGTGGTTTTATTGAAAAAGTTGACAACCTACTAAGACTCATATTCACGGTTTTGAAAATGAAACTTCATAGGAATGATGAAATGGAACCAAGAAGTATATGGGTCCGAACAGGGTTGAGGGGTAAGAAAACTGGCAAAATGCTAACGAACAACATTCACTGATAGACTGTCTGATTCAGGAAGAGTATAATGATTGGTATGGGTGACCTGTGGCTCAAATAAACAAATCATACAAAATATGCAAGCACAGGACAAACCTGGATTTCACTAATCTGGCGTCTGAACTCGAAGAAATCTGCCTCAAAATCGGTTTTTCTGTGGTCCAAAGGATCGTATGGCTTTTTCTTTAGCGCCGAGTACATGTGATGGAATCTATTCGAGATTGTTTCAATCCCTTCTATCTTTGATTCCGACAAAACAGAGAACGTTTCCAGCACATTTATTACTTCTATGATCTACAACAACAAGCAAAAAGGACAAATTAAAGGTTACTACATAGGGGCCGAAGATAATAGTAGGTAATTGCATTTGTATTTTTTTCATGTGATGAACGTAATGTTAATGAGCCAGAACAATCGCTTTTGTTTACCGGCGTTAGGTTTGTCAGATGTGAAATTTGAAGATCGAAGTTCGACCTGGGCCCAAATCTGGGCCGATTAGCGCTAACCCAGGGTTAAATTTAAACCCGGGTTTCTTTTTCTTTTGTTCAAAAGCATTTTACCGGAGAATTTTCTCCATTCTTTTTAGAGCATTACATTATCAAGTTGTGACAAAAATAATAAAACTGGATTTGCTTTTAAAGCTTTCATATCTTAATTGAAATTTTGCACTGACCCTGGGTTATCTTAACCCTGCTTTGACCTTCCCGGCCCCGGGCATTAGTGTTTTAATTACATCCTTCTCGTGTGCTTAAATCGTTTTTGTCGTCCACAAGCAAACAGTCGCAAATAAGTTAACAATAGAAAATTATACATAAAATGCAACAAGACTAAGAGCACAGTTTACGCTGAATAACCATTAAAAGAAATGGAAAAAAAAACATTAAGGGCGCATTATACAGTATGATTCATACCTGGCTTAAACGTTTGCAAAACGTGTCGAATTTGCCAAAGATGTACATCTCTGAGAACTCAAAAGGTTTCTTGCTGGGGTCCTCTGCAATGCGCTTCTTGGTTCGCTGAAAGCATTTCTGATATTCCTGGTTCAACTTCAAGCAGGCTTTAAGCTTCTCTATCAGGGGCTGTCTAGGCTGGTCCCAGACTCGGTTCACACCACGGTCGGTTAGGTAATTCTTACATGCAGTCACCATTTGATTAGTCACCTGAAATAAAGGTGCAGTCTTCAGTTACAATAGGCAGACTTCACAAGGACACGAACGGCAAAAAACCAATACTAAGACGAGTACGACAACGAGTACGAGATTTTCTCAGTGCTAAGTAGTGCGCGCGCGTGAACCAAGGTCATTTTGGCGGGAAAATGTGGTAGCCGTCCTCACTCTACCACGAGTTTTAGCGATAACGTCGAAGTGGGGAAAACGCGTTATCAGATGTTGGAAGTTTCATCATTTTGCGATCGGCAGAGCGCGTAACCTCCTTCACTAAAGGTAACAGCGCTAACTTTTCTAGTGAAAAATGGTAAAATGAAGCTTTCCGGGGAGTGTCTATTTTGAGAATACACGAAAAAACAAAAAAATCGTACTGGTAGTCGTTCTCGTCCTTGAATCTAAAGGTCACTAATAGTTTTTAGGGAGCTTAAGCCGAACGGCAACGGCGACGGCAACGAGAACGGCAAATCAGCAATAGTTTTAGTGTAGCAAAACAACAACTTTGCACGTGCATATCCCTTTTTGTACCTTTCTTTGCCTTCGTTGCACGACAACGACGTGAAACTGCCTTATTTCACGTTTTGTGGAGGACGGGAACACAAAACGACCCTCTTTTTCTCTTTCTGAACTTTGATAAAATTCCTTTAGAATTCAACTCCACAAAAATTCGCCAGCATTTGACGAATTTGAACGTGATGGAATACGCGCGATAAAGTTTGCAGCAGCGCGAAAACACTTTTGAACTGACGTTTTCGTAGCCGTCGCGATCGTTCTTGCTCAAGCTCCATTTTAGCAAAACAACAACTCTGTACATGCATCACCCTTTTGTGTAAATTTCTTCAGTTGCCGTTACTGCACGGCCACGATGTAAAAATCCTTAATTTCACGTTCTCTTCTTCTGAATTTCGATACAGTCCTTCAGTATTCAACACTAGAAAAATTTGCCAACGCATTGAACGAGATGGAATAAACGCGAGAAACTTTAAAGTAGCGCCTACGCCTACTAAAGAGCCTACTAAAAATTGTCAAACAAGTAGCTTGCCTTGATGAAAAGAGACGTCATCCTTTGCGAAGTATTGTAGTATCTAGAAATGGTATGTATCATCTGTATAGCATTGATCAGCACAGGAATGACATCTGTCATAGAAACCTGAGAAGACAAGCAGACCAACAGTTAATAAAGATCCTACACAAGTTGACGTATCACTCATTTTCATTTATTAGCCAATACATTAACATTCTTCGACCTTGCATTCAAGATGAATGATCACAGCAGTAGACGAAGTGTTCATAAACACGAATGCGAGAGAGTGTTCTATCTGGGAGCAAATACTACATTGTTTGGGGATTAAAGTAAAGCACCAGTTCTGTTCGAGCAAGAGAGGAAGGCCCCTTCTTATACCAGAAACAGAGAATGCCAAAAAATGAAATTCAACAAGAGGTGTATTTTTGCCAGTAGGGTGCAGTGCTTATTAGTACTTTTCCTCCTAAGCACGGCGCTTATTCAAGAAAGGGCGCTGTTTTGAGCAAATATATTGGTTGTTCATACCGGGTCTGAGTGATAGAGAGGGTCACAAGCTTTCTCCAGTGTGTAAAGAAACTTCACATTGTCTTTTGCTTCATTGGCAGCATCTGTTATTCGGCAATCCAACTCACGCCAAAACTATAAAACATAAACAGCTTTTTTAGGCAAATTAGACATCACCTTACATAACTAGTTTAAAAAAAGGTCTTGAAAAAAAACGCGTAATGCAGTTAAAATCGTAACATTGTTACATTTAATCAGCCTTCACCACGTAGCTCGTATTTAACTTCTCTAAGATCACTTCAANGCTTCATTGGCAGCATCTGTTATTCGGCAATCCAACTCACGCCAAAACTATAAAACATAAACAGCTTTTTTAGGCAAATTAGACATCACCTTACATAACTAGTTTAAAAAAAGGTCTTGAAAAAAAACGCGTAATGCAGTTAAAATCGTAACATTGTTACATTTAATCAGCCTTCACCACGTAGCTCGTATTTAACTTCTCTAAGATCACTTCAAGTACCCACTAAAGTAAATTTGTTAAAACGAAGAGTCGGTTTAGAAAACCAGTATTTAACAAGTAATTGTCACAGATGACATGAGTATAGCGATAAAATCATGAAGGCACACGATCGATGTATTTAAAGGAAGAGACCATCTTATCAACAAAGTCACCTTAAGTGTTTTTGACTTAGCAATATGCAGAATTCGTAAAACTGCTCTACAGTCTTGATGGTTAATTTGCTCCACTAGTGAGCTGAATTTTGCCATTCTCATTTTCCAGTGTTCCAGTTCTGCCATGGGTCCTGTATCATCTGCTTCCTTCCTCATCTGTTCGCTCTGGGCCAGCACCTATGGGCAACAAGACAGAAAGTGCAAATACTATTGACATTATTTCTTCCACTTGCATGCTAAGCCAAGAATAAAGATGAGCACAGTCTGTACACAGTAACAGTTATATTACTCTCTCTCACACTCTCTCTCTTCCTCTGTTCCAATTGATACGTTTTGGCAACGTAAATTCCCTACTGCGTCTCTATTATAATCACATTATCACAGCGCGGTCTGACCCACATGTACATGTACTACTCCAGAATAGATAATCCCCAACTCTGATATGTCTTCCCAAAGCTATAAGTGCTTTTCTCTAACCCAAGAAATTCCTACTAAGTAAATGCAGACTTGTCGAAGGTTTATACCTCACAGACCGACCTTATAACGCTACGACAACGTAGTTATTAATGTCAAGCCATCACCCCTTTAACCAAAAAGTAATTGAAAACTTCCCTAACGCAGCAACACTAGAGTGACGAGTCAGTTGTTAACAAACATGGTTCACTAAGTGATTTGCCTTGGGCGCAAACAATGTGAATACCGAGCAGGCAAGAGACGAAAGGAGTGAAATTTCATTTACATCGTGAAAGAACTCACTTTTTCAATCTGTTTACACCAAGAGTGCACAAGCTCGTCCAGTAAAGAGAGTGTTTCCTGATTGTTTGCTAGCGCTTGATAATCAGCTGGCCCCTCAAGGGAACTGACGTCAATCACTTTACAAGGGTGTAACTTTATTGCTTCATTCACTGATGCATGCGCTCCTACGAAAAAACACAATGGCTGAAATGAATACATGGCAATTAATCACTTAATTTTGGTAAGTATGATACTTCAAGCATAGCTGTTGTGTTTAGATTTAACCTTAATTATTTTTGTTTGCTTTAATCTTGTTATCACACATTAGCATGACTGAAAACAAACTGAGGAAAAAAAAATTCAACAAACATCTAATGTTCAGCCCAGTCAAACTCAAACTCCGTATTTTAATATTGACAGTCACCTCTGATGTTAGATTTAAAGAAAACTGGCTGCAGGGCAGTTAGTGCGTGCTGTGGACTTTCCTAGTTAATTTTTTAAACTATATTTACGGTATACCTTTTACCTTGATCTACTCTACCATAACATTTAAATAGCTGTTAACATAATATTAACATTATATAACATAACTGTTATTACCCATAACAGTGCAATTTTGTCAGGGTCTTTCATGATCAAAACAGTTCTAATCCAGAATCAAAACTGTCTTACCATCTATAAAATGCACAAAGTTGTCTAAAGATTCAACAAACTCCTTTTGGGCATGAATTCCTTGTGGAGTCCCAGTTAGTTCTCCCCAGTTGGACATTGCATTAATAGCTGGTAAGTAGATCTTTGTGAGATGAGCCTTAAGAGCTGGAATAAGCGATCCAGCTTCCGCAACATTGATAATGCCAAAGGATACTTCCTGAATATTAGTCAACAAGAAAGAAAAACACACATATCATATGCAATGTTTTTTGTTTTATGTTTTTTGGGAAAATCCATATTACATAAGGATTGCAATCAATCCTGCTAATCAAAAAGGGTTTTGGGGCTGGTTGAAATGACTTGTGGGCTAGTTCATGCTAGCTACAGCTTGCCTGAATGGCAGGCTGTAAAACTGGCTTTCTTTCACCCTGGATAATCAATCACGAAAAGGAAATCAACCCTTTTCAAAATTCCTTTAAGTGCTCTCCATACATTTCCTTAATGAATATCAGTTGCAAGAATTTGTTAGAAAAACAAATCATTTTCATGTAGGTAATTATTTTATTAATTCTCATAACCATTTTTTGATCATGTATTAATATTGTTTGGAGAAAATTGATAAGGATCAATTTTTGAACTTATATGGTTAAACCTTGCAAAGTAACATACATCAGCGATTATCCTCATTTTAATGTCTTTGGTAGCATCAGCTTTCACACAATACACTAGAGTTCCTGTCAGTCCCTCTTCTAATCCATCTGTAACTAGAAGAACACAGGTGTTTCCAGACTTGGGAGCATGTAGCACTGAACGAGCTCTTACTTCAGTGTCTTCAAACAATGAAAAGGGAACAGTATATTAGCAGACTTATCATAAGTATCTATTCTAATATTAGCTTATACTGTCTTGGGACGAGTTGTTGGGGTGAGTAAAATATGTCAGCAATCACAAATTCTAGGGACAGTGACATAATAGCTCGTCAAAATGACACATTTTCCCTACCCTCTTCCCCTCTGGTGAAGGGTTGATGTTGTGCATCCAAGTCTTTCTCATCACAATCAACTTTGCTTGGAGGAGAGGGGGTCAGTAGAAATTGGCTCTAACAACATTCCCAAGCTTTCATAGGGATGAAATTGCAATTTAAATTAGCATAGTGTCCCAAGATGTCTTGACCAGGCCTGTAGGTGTGACCACAATTTGTATCAGAGCAAAACGAAAGACACTTTTTGGACATAGGTATGTCTCTTTGTCATTTCCTGGGGTTGCTTCCTTACCCAAGATATTGATTGCTCTTCACTGTCTCTCAATGGGTCAGGCTCTACATCCACTTGGGTGTATAATAATTTTTTTTTTTTAGACAAGATACTTTTCATGTCAAGGTATCTTTCTCCTATTCAACCATTATTGAGAGTACTTAACAATTATTCCTCGAGCCCGAATGGGCTCTGAATCAATAACCCATAAGGCCGACGACCGAATGGGCTATTGACTCAGAGGCCATGAGGGCAAGAGGAATAATTGTTCTAGTAAAATCCAACAAGTTGGTAAAAAAAATCAAGAATAAAAAAATTCTTCGCTGCTTAAAGCTAGACTTTAATCCTTTTTTGCCGCCAAAAAGCTGGCGCTTTTCGCTACTAGTGGGCTATAACATATAGGCTATAACATATAGCCTAGTAGTAGCTCAACCAATCAGAATGCAGCATTGATAATAGACCACTAGTTGGATTTTACTAAAATGTCATATTTTCTATCTCTAGAATTCCAAGGTATGGTTTGTAAATATATAACATTCTTTTTTTATATTTATCTATACTAGCTATTTTTTCTTTGTGGAGCTTATCATAATACTTACAACTTCCATCAAGATCCAATTCCTGATAAAAGAACAAAAGTGATCGTCTTCCTTTTGGTTTAAGGAAACTATCTATCATGTACACCGCCTGGAAAAGATATATATCAACTCAAAATACTGCTTTGAGTAGGTGAAGGCCTTTTTCAGTTGTAGCATTTGTCTGAAAACTCCCAGTCACCAGGAAGGCTACCACCTTTCATTATAAGCGCTACCAAGACTTAGGGAGAGGGAAGGGGTTAAGAAGACATGCTGAAGATTTGAAATTTAGGGAGGGGCATTTGGAACAAACACGAAACTACTATTAAGAAAACAAATCTGCATGTAGTATGAAACCAAAATGAACTGTGGAATCTGGTGATAAAAAGTTTGTCGATCACATTTCAAACGTTTGCAATATTTTTACTGTCTTTGTTTTTCCTTTGTTTGTCTGTATGTTGTTTGTTATAATTCAAAACCTTAAAAGCTTTATTTCGCCCTAACAACTCTGCCATTTTGTCTTTTTCACTGTTTGTTTCTCGTCTGAGTACACGTTTATCCACAAGCCGACGTTTACAGCGCTTCGCGTGGTTTTCTTGTCAATAAAAATTATTCCAGTGCATAAAGTTATAAGAATTCAAATACCTCTTCAGAATCAACAATGAATTCTTCAATGGCAGAGACTTCAAGATCTAGGTAGCCGCCAACAATTCCCAAAATAAACCTATACTCGTCTGTCATCATCCTTTTTCGAGCTTCGCGGTTTTCTTTCGCTCTTTGCTGTAATGAAAAAAGAAAAAAACCGAATCAGCATCACAAAGAACATACCCTGAGAGAAACGATGCAAAAAGAGACCATGAAAATACCAGTTAGTCACAAGAAAGCAACCATAAATTAAAAGCGCGGTCCTTTAAATTCATCTGAATGGCTTCCTCTAAATTCTGTAGCTTTTTACCTGTCTTTCTTTAAGGGTTTCTCCCGTCATCGGATGAGCAAATTGCGAGGCGACACTTTTCCTTCGCCTGAGTTTGTCAGCTTTGGAACCAGCTTCATGTTCCATAGACATGCCAACTATCATACTCTTTTTTGAGCCTTTGAGGTCTCTTGTGCTCGGCTTTCCGGTGACGCTTCTTTTTTGTTCGGCCATGTTTGACTTTTTCCTTGCACTGAAAACTCGCTGACAGTTCTGTAAGTTCCGTTAAAAATGCGAAAAAATACAATTTTGCGATCAAAAACGAATTTCAAACAAAAACCTACACATCTTGGTGCTCAAAATCACATTGTTTGTTGCATTTGACTTTCTTTCCACGCAGTTTTTAACTTTTTCACGGGAAAGAAAAAATGCGTGTTTGCTGCAAATTTCTGGTCGATTTCTGGTGAAAATCCCCGCGTAATGGCTTTTTTATCCAATCAGAAAAGAGAATAGGCTTTCCGTCAATCATTTTGTTGCTTGGAAACGTCTGTGACGCTTTCCCGGGATTCTCGCGTGCTGTTCTATGCAACTGCAGTTTCTTTAGTCAGCGGATGTTTTCATGAAGGCTCAAATTTCATCAGAGTGTAATATTTCCATCAGACTAGCATGAAATTCTTGTTTTCTACAAGATAACATTTGAAAATCACCGAAAATGATCTACAGAATGATATATCCGTTAATTTTAAATTTTGTCATGTCTGCTGTGGCATTTTTGATAACTATGAAGTTGATTTCTGGAATGAAGCCCTTGTTCACCAAGGCCGGTCTCTGTGGTAAAGATCTCAACAAAAAAGACAACAAAGATTTGATGTAAGTTCATTTATCCGTTCTTTCAAAATATTCCGTGGATATTGTACTGAAAAGGAAACGTAACTGTACGTAATCAAAAAATTGCCTTCTTAATCAGATAATCCTAAGCAATTTAATACGAGACCATGGAGTTTGAAGCGTGGGTTGCGGTGATTCGTTGATATCGAATAGCTACTTGTATTTGTGGAGAAATTTTTATTACTTTCTGTTTCTAGTACACTAAAATGTTTTCAGCAGGGAACTGAACAGATCGTTAGATCAGCACAATGCAATTCCAACAAACTCATCAATATGAGCATCACGTTTTGGACTGCGGCTTTGGAAGTCGTTGATGCTACAAAATCTCATTTTTTAAATCGGTCTTTGAACCCTGCCTTTCTATTTTAAATTGGATTCCACATTCACCATTTGTGTTTGCTAATTCCAAAATTATGCAAGTCAATTATTATTGATTTTGAACAGCTGTGTTGATCTTTGCCTCAATTAGTCAGGGCTTTGTAAAAAGTGCTCTCAGTAACACCGCAGGGATCGCAATGTTTTGGCCTGTGAAATCCAAAGACAAAATTAAGTCAGGGCCACTGGGCTCTGCAAGAGGCTTATCAGTTGTTTTCGATAAAGTCATCTAGATGCTTTAGTTGATCCAGTTCCAAGTAGTTGACTCGTAGAATAAGGAATATTCATGCCTTATATAGTTTTCTTGATCTTTTGCTAACTATACAAAAAAGGTCATGCACTTAATTGTTGTACAGTTCTGCCACTTCCTTGAGTTTGTATCAAAGTAACTGGTTTCCTGATAGAGCTTAGCTCTGTTGTCTTGGGTATACTACTACTCTCACTCCCCTCAACTCCCCCCCCCCCCCCCCCCCCCCCACCCCCCCACCTCATACCCCCCCCCCCCTTTTTACATCATGTTTTTTTTAATATTGTTTTTTTTGTGGGGTTTATAAAAAAACGTTACATGGTGGAGTATTTTTTATTTTTATTTTGTCTTGTACTATTCGAACGCTGTGTGTGTGTTTGTTA